TCAAGCTTTCAGGACAATAAAGCGAATTTCATTGACTTGTTAGAATCAGAAACGCGGCGTTATTCTGAATTATGGTTCTAACTGATGTCTGCCCTCCCGGAGAGACAAAGATTGCAATTAATATCATTTTTATGAAACCGTGTGATGTCAGTGTTCTTATAACAGACCATGAACCATCATGAGTTTCCTTGTTTGTTGTTTAACGCGCTCTCACCAATATTCCATCAATATGTTTTGTTTGTTTGTTGTTTAACGCCGCACTCAAGCACTCAAGCAATATTCAAGCAATATGGCGGCGGTCTGTAAATAATCCAGTTCGGACCAGCCAATCCAGTGATTGACATCATGAACATCGATCCACGCAATTGGGATACAATGACATGCAACAACCAAGTCAGCAGCCTGACCAGCCGATCCCGTTAGTCGTTTCGTACGGCAGGCATGGGTTGCTGAAGACCTATCTACACCGGATCTTCACAGGTCCCATCAATATGTAAGCATGTACGTGTCATCGGTCCCAATTGCGTGGATCGATGCTCATGACATTAATCACTGGATTGTCTGGTCCAGACTCGATTATTTACAGACCGCCGTCATATAGCTGGAATAGTGCTGAGTGCCGCGTTAAACAACAAACAAACCTTGCATGTAAGTAATCGAGGCTGATCCTGACAAACCAGTGATTGATATCATGAGCAACGACCCACGCCGTCGGGGTACGATGACACGCAATCAACCAGTCTCCGATCGGTTTAGTCGACTCGTGCCACAAGTATAGGTCTAACTCCGAAACGTAGTGGGGACACTTTGATATGGAACGTGTATAAATTCTCTCATTAACAGTGACAGTGAGTGAGTGAGTATGGTTTTACGCCGTTTTTAGCAATATTCCAGAAATATCACGGCGGGGGACACCAGAAATGGGCTTCACGCATTGTACCCATGTCGGGAATCGAACCCGGGTCTTCGGCGTGACGAGCGAACGCTTTAACCACTAGGCTACCCGACCGCCCCTAACAGTGACAGGTAGTCAGTCCTCCCAACACTTTGGCGCATGAGTGAGTGATTAATACACTGGATGAATTATTGCATAACCTATTCATATAAAAATGTTAGATAAAAAAGTGTGACTGGTCTGAAACGGATTCGAACGAATCTGTGGACTCGTGTAGCTAAGAATGCAGAATTGTTGGAAGGTCTACTGAACACGGAATGCGGTCGGCAACATCGACATGAACTGCCGGTCAAAAAAACCTATACACCCATGTTTGATGATGGCTATTATGATACACACAAAAAATGGTTATTCGATGGTGATGTATTTGATAAGGTTGCACAGTTGTGTTTTGGACCTTAAGTTTGCAGCGTTTTTCAGCCTAGTAACGTTTTGATAACGTTTGTAATGTTTTGGTCAAATCCAATTGTCCAGTGTATCCAGTTTCATTACATTGCGCTGACATATTTTTTTGTAAACTAAAAACCCCGTTCTTAGAGATTGGCACCAGCATAATTAGATGGCATGGCTCATATACGTATATATACCAGTTTAACAGCCAATAGCCATATTTTGTTAATTTTATGTTATTTATTTGCCAAAACATGTGTGTTAATCCTGCTGTTTGCTACTAACTCCTAACCCTGCAAACACGTTTCACAAACACAGACTTGGAAAACATGTTTTGAACGGTTGTTCTTTTAACGTGAAAGTCTTTCGAAAGTTATGAGACAGAAATAAGTGAGTATGGTTTTACGCCGCTTTTAGCAGCATTCCAGCAGTATCACGGCGGCAGAGACCAGAAATGGGTTTCACATATTATACCCATGTGGGGAGTCGAACCCGGGTATTCGGCGTGACGAGCGAACGCTTTAACCACAAGGCTACCCCACCACCTGTATCAATATGTAACAAGATGTAACAAGAACGCTTACCTGTTAATTAGTCACGCCTGACTCCCCCGTCACTGTGTGAAGCCCATTTCTGGTGTCTCCGGCTGTGATATTGCTAGAATATTGCTACAAGCGGCGTAAAACCATACTAACTCAACTACATATGTACCATGGGTAAATAAAAACTCATTTCACAGACCAGGAACAATTAGCTGTATTGGACTTTAAAGTAAACCCTTCATCTTGGGGAACTACAGTGGCCCATAAGGGACATGGAGTCTGTTTTTCAATATTTTGATATTTCACTTACTGTTATCGTAACCTTTTGTAAATTAACACGATTTGTCATACAAATATGTGATAAATCATGTATAAAGAAGATATTGAATCGGTGAAAAGTGAAGCGAAAATGTCAAAAACTAAAATGAAAATGTCAAAAACAAAAACGAAAATGTCAAAAACTAAAATGAAAAGACAGAAAACCATTTCCACCGCGGTGGGAATATTATTACCGCGGTGGAAATAGTTTTCTGTATTTTCATTTTAGTTTTTGACATTTTCGCTCTTGTTTTTGACATTTTCGTTTTTGTTTTTTTACCTTTACGTTTTTGTTTTTGACATTTCGTTTTTAGTTTTGGATATTTTCGCTTCACATTTCAGCGATTCAATAGCTACTTGAAAGTACATTTTCCATGTTTTCGGTTGTTTTTATACATGATTTATCACATATTTGGATGACAAATCGTGTTAATTTGCCAAAGGTTACAGTAAAAGTAAGTGAAATATCAAAATATTGAAAAACAGACTCCATGTCCCTTATGGGCCACCGTAGGGAACAGAAGTATTTAAGGAATCATTGTAATGTAATGGAGGGCTTGCTGTGGTGGTCGAATGACAAAGATGTACACACGGTAGTTACGAAATAAACGACGAGTGGGAGTTGTTTATCGTACAATAAAACACTGCAGCGAGAATAATCCATGAGCACCGCAGCCCTGAGTGGTTTATTCTCCCTGCAGTGTTTTATTGTACGATAAACAACGACCACGAGTCTTTTATTTGTTATATGAAATATCAACATTATGTACAGCCTATTTAAGAATGTTTATTAAATGGATCCGACCTCGGAAATGTCGGAGAAGTCCATTTCACGAACAGGGGGGCGTTGTTTGGTTTTTCCCACATATTCTCACTATCCTCACGTCAATTATCTGAACCTTTTGTCCAAATACATATTGTCATACCTCTCCCATATTTGGAAGCGATCGTTCGGCCACTGCGTTTATCTGCGCAGCCCAGCTACATCTGTGGGTAAATGCACCGATGCTACGCGACGTGTGAGAAGCACATGTATTATTCTGACACTTATAAAAAATAATTGTCCTGATAATATACCATGTGAGCGATTTATAGCATTTCGTGCAGTGGTGGTAGGATAGCCAAGTTGTTGGTGAATCGTTTGTACGTCACACAGAAGACCCGGGTTCGATTCCCACATGAATACAATGTGTGAAGTCCCTTTTCACGTATCCCTGTTTGGATGTTGCTGGGATACTGCTAAAAGCGGCGCAAAATTATATTCATTATTTTATCATTTCGTTTTAAGTGCACAGAACATAAATTTACGTGGTTTGATCAAATTTCTTTCTGTTAACCGAAAAAGGTGTAGGTACAACACAGTAACCGTGCTTTGTTGTATCTACACCTGTTATGGTATAACAACAACAGGGTGAAAAGCCTAGCATTTACAGCATATGCCAAGAACGCATTGACCAGGTGTTGCCCAGTCTCACCAGCGTTGTTTGTTTGTTTGTTTGTTTGTTTGTTTGTTTAACGCCGCATTCAGCAATATTCCAGCTATATGACGGCTGTTTGTAAATAATCGAGTCTGGACCAGACAGTCCAGTGACTGACATCACGAGCATCGATCCACGGAATTGGAATATGATGACATACATCAACCAAGTCAGCGAGTCTGACCACCCGATCCCGTTAGTCGCCCCTTACGACAAGCATAGTCGCCTCTTACGACAAGCATAGTCGTCACTTTAAGGCCCCATCAGTGTTGGTCTGTACGTGCTCACCGTTTAAGACACACCAGAAAGCACTTCCACACTTGAATTGTAGCGCTGTTTCCGCAGATGGCAAGAATTAGGCTATTATAGGTAAACGCTTGTAGGCCGGGATTAACGGCAGTAAATACGACGGAACATACTTAACGTTAGCAGTCCTTAATAAACCTCTGGCTGAAAATGTGTGGTATGTCTAAAAGCGGACCAGTGATCTTGAGTCACTGAGTAAGTTGGGTTAAAGTTGCCAGGCAGGGTAACAACAAGTACCATTGTAACGGCTTTTGGAATGACGCGGCCGAGGATCGAACCACCGAACTTTCCGCCCTCCGGGAAAACGTTCTATCCACAAGACCGGGGTCGGTCTATAAACAATGAAGATATAACAATTAGTTAATCAATAGCGTGTCGCTACACAAAGGATGAGAATGTTTTTTTATTATTCAACACAACACAATATTTAACATTCAGCACAACAGAACAATACACATTGAACATCACAAAAGTATTGTTCCCGGTCAACTGTGTCCAACAATAGAAGCATCTCATTATTCCAATTCGCTATGAGCTGCTTAAATACACACGGGTATTCGGAATGTATATCACAACTACAAAAGAATGGGGGGGGGGGGGGGGGGGGGGGGGGTATATCCAGCGATCGTGTGAAGGTCGGTGTTAGCCGCTGTCAGCTCCATGTCAGCTGTACGCGGCCTGTAAATAACCGAGTCCGAACCATACAAACAAGTGATTGACCGCATGAGCAACTATGGGGATCACAATGAGACAGGTCCACCACTTTGACCACCCAATCCTCGGCTCGTACAGGTGGTACAATAGAATCATTTTTTTAGACTTGAACCAAATGAATGAGACAGTAAACATAACCCTTCCACCCTAACCTGTATTGTTTAACTAGCCTTAAGGCGACTATGTTTGTCGTAAGAGGGACTAACGGGGTCGGGTGGTCAGGCTCGCTGACTTAATTGATGCATGTCATCGCAACCCAATTGCGTGGATCGATGCTCATGATGTCAGTCACTGGACTGTCTGGTCCAGACTCGATTATTTACAGACCGCCGTCATATAGCTGGAATATCGCTGAGTGCGGCGTTAAACAAACAAACAAACAAACAAACAAACAAACTGCCTTATCGCCCTATTCTCAGTTCGGACTTTAAAGTCAACCGTACACCGTATGACCATCTTCAGAAACACAAGCTTCTGCGGCGGGTAGTACATTACATACAGTGCATATGCAATATGTCACAGCAAATGTCCCCCCACACACACACACAAACACACACACCACCACCACCGGCCCCACTGTCACTGCAGATTGTCAACTCCATACACCGTCTGACCTGTTGCAGGTCGTATATAAAACCGTATGTCCTTTCTTCTTTTGGTTGTCATTCATTCACACAACACATATGCATTTGATAACCTTTAAACCACCGAGGGTAAATCCATTCGCTGGAAAGACACACCAAAAAGTGGTTGTTGGACATAGCATCCATCCAGTCCAATACGGGCCATAGCTTGAGTTCGACTCCTTCGGTGGCTATGGCCAGCAGGCGAAAGGTGGTCATTGCGACAACAGTGCTTATCTTGGTCTCTTAGCCTGTTCGAACGTCCTGGTTGATTGACGTCAAAGTTCCTAATCTCCTGCATAGGGCGCTGTGACGTGGAAAGAAATCTTCTCACTCGCCTACTAGGATGCCTCTTGCACATTATGGCCATTTTAAAATGATACCTAAAGTTGCCACTCAACAGGCAATATATTATTGGATTAATCGCATTTGCTCCATAGGAAAAACAAAGGGCAAATACTTCCCTGTCTTTGAAAATTATTTTGTTTCCCGAGCCAATGAAATCTTCGTGAAGTCGTACGATATGGATTGGCAACCAGCCAACACCAAAAGCTACAGTAATTGCAAATATTATTTTAGCTATCTTCCTCCTAGCTCTAAGGGCGGTCAGGGATATGTCATTTGGCCTTGACCCTGGTCTGACGCTTGTCCATAGTTTCCGTACAATCCTACAGTGGCAGAAGCTCAGGATGACCTGGGGGAGAAGGAACATCGCCAGGAACATCAAGATGGAGTCCACCTTCCTCCGCACAATCCAAATCTGGTCGTGCGCCCCCTGGTGGCGGTTGCAGAACATCCTCATGTCGTGGAAGTGCCACAGTTCGCTGAGGCCGTATAGGAATGCTCTTGGAACCATTATGAGTACAGATGCCACCCAGATGCCAAGCATTATTGCCATTGCTCGCTTTGAGGTTCTGAAACATGCAGAGATGGTTTCAGTAAGATAAACTTTGTAACTACTAATGGCTTAAGCATGTTCCGGGGCGGTGGGGTAGCCTAGTGATTAAAGCGTTTGCCCGTCACACCGAAGACCCGTGTTCGATTCCCAAAATGTAAAATGGTAAAGCCCATTCCGGGTGTTCCCCATATGATATTGGAATGTTGCAAAAAGCAGCATTAGACCAACCTCACTCACCTCCTAAAGTACGTTCCATGGTCTTCTGCATATGTCAAGATTTGGTTTACAAATTGTAATAAGTGCTATTTTGGAAATTCAAACATTGTCTCAGTGTAAATAGAATAATCTTTGACTGGAGTTATGTACATAACAGAAGGTAAATATAAAACGTTAACGACCAGGCTCGATCATCCACCGAAACAGATTCCACTGATAAAATCAAATATCGGTGAAAATTAATATATATGCATGTAGATCAATGAAAATAAGTGATTGAGATAGACGAACAAAATGGAGCATCACATGGTCTGCGTCTTCGTGATAAGGAGGTTGTATTGGTGGCACGCATGTTGACAAACGAGTGACACAGATTTAACTACCACTCTGAGTTTAATCAACTTACAATGAATTAGCGCGTGGGAACTCACTGACGCGTGCGGTGGCGTTTGTCGTCACGCTTGTTGATCATAGTCATGAGAGTGAGTGACAGTGTTGGGTTGAACGTTTCTTTGAAAGCTACACGTTCATTGCATTACCCTTTGACATCAAAGCATTTCAGCTTGACGTAGGTATAACACGCCATTCGACACACACCATAGTCGCTTATCGGTTTTTTAAAATATACCTTCACACGTGGAATATAGCTAACGATTATATAAATACCACAGTCCGTACGAAGGACTGTGCCCAAACCATGAATTCAATCTTCTTAAATGAGATATTGAAGTTCAAGGATTTACCGCAACAGTACACTTACCTCAAACTTAATTGAGTTGGTGAGTGAGTTGGGTTTAACGCCGCTTTTAACAGTATTCCAGTTATATCACGGCGTGTCAGCTTAATGTGGGAGGAAAGCCCGAAGTGAGGCAGGTCTCAGACGTTTACAACTTCGGTGAAACCCACGAGCACGGGTATGGTGAGGACAAACCCAGAAACATAATCGGGGCGAACCGGGATTCGAACCCACAATCATAGGTTTCTGGCGTGTCCAAGGGACGCAACTCTGCACAGCGAATCGCGGCGCCCTAGACGACTTGGCCACCCGTGCCCCCACCTCCCAAATCCCCAACCCAATATTTCAAGATTTATCAAAATCATGTTTCTATTAAACACTTGAGTGACAAACAACTGTACATGTATATACAAATAAATACCTGAACGTCCTTGATCTTACAGGGTGTATAATCGCATAGTATCGGTCAAGGCCAGTGGCGGCCAAGGTCATAACGCTGACGGCGAGACAGACGCCCATTGTGTAGTTCACAAATTTACCTGAAATAAAGAAAATAAGAAAATGATTAACTCTGGATTTCTACATAGTGACAACGTTTACGTGAATTATGTGGTCTTCTTTGTATATGGATGAGGAAGATTAATTAATGGTTTGTCACATTGGTAAATTACTGCTTGACAATCTAAATTGAAGATTACAAGTTTTTGCTGTGAAAAACAATCATTAGGGAGGGGTGATCAGTAATTTACACACGCCATTCAATATATGGGGGGTAAGACATTTAGGCAAGACATAGGCATCCCCATGGGCACCAATTGTCCTACCCTTTCTTGCGGATCTGTTTCTTTACGCCTATGAATCGGAATTTGGTCTGATAGGCAAAGTCAAAACAAAGTTATTTGGCCAAGAAGTTTCCACAAGACCCCACAAGACTGTATGACAAGAGGGATGACTTCATCTTTCCAATGGTCAATTTTCCCTTTATGTCGAGCAATGTTCCAGCAGCTCCAGCCTTTAGTGTTTCCATTTCACAACTTTTGAGATACAATCGAGCATCCTCTTTCCACCAAGATTTCAGATAGCGTCATACGACTCTTGCTCAGATATTTTTTTACCAAGGTTACAACATTCAAGGCCTCAGCAAAGCTTTCAAAAGTTTTTGGTAGACATGTGGAGGACATTTCGAAATTTGACGCATCATTGACAAAAATGATGTCCGATGCAATTCCCTATTTTCACTTGCACCATATGTTCCGAGTGTTTTTCAGGTGAACAATTGACTTGCCTGTGCATGTGTTTGGGACGAGTGCCACCAGTGGGGCAGGATACGTTCACCTTTTGAAATTGTAATAAGTGCTATTGAGCTCACTTTTTCGAACACCTGGTATCATTACTAGTTGATAGTGATTCATAAACACATGCTAATGATAAAGTCGGAATCGTACAATCGACATGGAAAGATATAGAAAGGGTTTTGTCGCTTCATTTATATATAAGACGTCAACGACAGAGAATGACAAGACTCGTCTGTCCCCCGAAACAGATTCCGCTGGGCATAAACGACAAACTGGATAAGATAGTGATGACAAAAGCGTTAATGATTGAAGTTAACATTCTGATTGGTTTACTCAAACATTCAACGAAATGACGTAAATACTCGTATCTTCCGCTGGCATTGTCAACTAACACTGATACTATCTATGTGGAATATGAAACTAACATTGCAACTACAGTAAACTACGGTTATAACGAACACGCTTATAACGAACTGACGGATATAACGAACCTACTTTTTGGTCCCGACTATGTGCTGTAGTTATGCTGTATATATGCTTATAACGAACTACGGTTATAACGAACTAAAATTGGTAGTCCCTTTGAGTTCGTTATAACCGTACTTTACTGTATCTACATGGTAAATGAAACTAATGAGTGAGTGAGTTGAGTTTTACGCCGCTTTTAGCAATATTACAGCAACATCACGGCGGGGGACACCAGGAATGGGTTTCACACATTGTACCCATGTCGGGAATCGAACCCGGATCTTCGGCGTGACGAGCGAACGCTTTAACCATTGGGCTACCCGACCGCCCCCTAAATGAAACTAACATTTGTACTATCTATGTGGAATATGAAACTAACATTGCAGCTATCTATATGGAACACGAAACTAACATTGCAACTATCTATGTGGAATATGAAACTAACATTGCTAGGGCTACACTTTTTCATCGACATTTAACATTTAGATCCTAATATTGGTTTGTGTCTTTCATTAGAAATTTAAAACAAAACTCAAAAGGCTGAATACGCTCTCACGATGAAATACGTTACACTGCTTCTATTAATGTTAAATATATTATTGGATGTTATTGTACTCACTAGCACTAACAAATAAGGACATCAGCTGATGATGATGAGTCACTTCTCACTCGAAACCATCAATGTGTGATTTTGCAATCAAAATGTAAATATAAAATGTAGATTATGTAATGAATTTAATGGGATTGTGCAACACATTGTCAGTGGATGCCCAGCTTTGGCACGGTGGCTTTGACAGAAAGGTCCACACATAGTACGACCCGGAATATGTGGAGGGCGTCATGGAAAATGATACGTATAAAATTCTTTGTAACAGGCCCATTTACAGCCTCAGACGTATCCAGGCCAACAAACCTGATCTTGGGATGTCCTCAGATCACACACACACACACACACACACACACACACACACACACACACACACACACACACACACACACACACACACACACACACACACACACACACACACACACACACACACACACACACTAACTAACTAACTAACTAACTAACTAACTAACTAACTAACTGATCTTGGGTTGTCCTCAGATCACACACACACACACACACACACACACACACACACACTAACTAACTAACTAACTAACTGATCTTGGGTTGTCCTCAGATCACACACACACACACACACACACACACACACACACACACACACACACACACACACTAACTAACTAACTAACTAACTAACTAACTAACTAACTAACTAACACATACACACACTAGCTGACACACACACACGTTTTACATTGTTGGGACCACGCTGAGAGCTGTTTTTAGCAAATGATATTCACCGCTTCCGTAGTCCAGTGGACAGAGCGTCTGCCTGTACAGGGGAAGGTAGGCGGTTCGATCCCCGGCAGCATCATACCAAAATGCACTAAATGGGGCGCATATTAGCAATGGGTTTAGAAACACGTCACGTACGTGATGTATTTATAGGTACGCGCCATTCGTTTTGCTGAGTAGGGTACATAGCAATTTATTAACACGCCATTGACCAATAAAATTCAAGTAGTTCTTGTTTAAGCAACAAATCAATATACAAAACAAATCTAACATTCATCATCGTTTCCCTTGACTTCCATTTGTAACAACCATGTGTGATATAAGTGTGGGACACGTTCCCCTAACGTGTAAGTGAGTGAGTGAGTTTGGTTTTACGCCGCTTTTAGCAATATTCCAGCAATATCACGGCGGGGGACACCAGAAATGGGCTTCACACATTGTACCCATGTCGGGATTCGAACCCGGGTCTTCGGCGTGACGAGCGAACGCTTTAACCACTAGGCTACCCGACCGCCCCCTTAACGTGTAAGTAGTGGTTGACAGTGTGTACAAACTGGTGTCAGATCTGCCTAAAAACGAAACACACTCAACATGTGATGGACACTGATCATTTAACCCCTGTCAACGATGATCACACATTTGTCGTGCAGGTGTTACGTCAGATTACACTGTTGGCGTGCACGTGTAATGTGCAGGTGCATTGTGCAGGTGTATTGTACGTGCGAACTAACTGACGTCCATGTGACCGAATTATCTTTTCTCATCAGTGTGTATATAATAGGAAAAATTAAATAAGACTTATGTATGTGTTGCAAACTCGGCAATATTGCAGATATATATGACAGTGGCACCCTCCTGGTTGTATGCAGATTTATTTTATTTTAATAATCATATTAATTTGTTATTCGAGAGTGTGTGGGTAGTAGGCTGGATGAGGGGTGAGTTGGTTGATTAGTTGGTTGGCTGGTTGGTTGGTTGAGTGATTAGTTGGCTGGCTGGTTGAGTGATTAGTTGGCTGGCTGGTTGAGTGATTAGTAAGTTGGTTGTTTGGTTTAGTGGTTGGCCGGTTGAGTGATTAGTTGGTTGGTTGGTTGGTTGAGGGGCCGGTTGAGTGATTAGTTGGTTGGTTGGTTGAGTGATTAGTAAGTTGGTTGTTTGGTTTAGTGGTAGGCCGGTTGAGTGATTAGTTGGTTGGTTGGTTGGTTGGTTGAGGGGCCGGTTGAGTGATTAGTTGGTTGGTTGGTTGGTTGGTTGGATGGGTTGTTGGTTGAGTGATTGGTAGGTTGATTAGTTGGTTGATTAGTTGGTTGAATGCTTAGATGGTTGATTGGTTAGTTGGTTGGTTGAGTGTTTGGTCGAGTGATTGGATGGTTGAATGACCCCCGAATATCAAGTGGTAGTTCAATAAGTCCGCCTAGGAGATTACTGAAGCCTCGGTTTCAGTTTCGACAAATAGATGATGACCTTTTACTCACAAGTAGTGTGCCAGGAAATGATTATTTTTCCACTTTCCACTTTTATGAGGATAAAACAAGAAACATTTTGCTCAAAGTCACGTCATTATAAAGCTCTGCTTAAGAGCTCAACGTTATCAGATATGTTCAAGATTTCACCGTGTAAAAAGGGTTATTTAAAATATCTTGTCATATACTACGTTTATCGTGAATCCAGATGTAGTATATATTTTGTGAATTGATGAGAGTAGGTGAGATTTTTCACCACTTGTGTTGTATTATAGCGGCGAATAGGGTCATCTCGGGAAGCAAGCATGTTATCGAGATCGCGATCTCACGTTTCCATATTTTCTGAGAGAATGCAGGCATCGCATATGCTACATGCGCATACTCTACAGCATGGCTAAATGAACAACAGTGAAACGTCTCGCTTACTGTGATCTAGACATGGATATCGATGTTGTGAGAAATGACCACATGTGACACACGTGGGGCATCACATAAACAGATGCCTAATAGTGAGTGAGTGAGTTGGGTTTAACGCCGCTGTGAACAGTATTCCAGTCATATCACGGCGTGTCAGCTTAATATGGGGGAAAAGCCCGAAGAGATGCAGGACTCAGATGTTCACTGTGGTGAAGCCCACGGGTATGGTGCTAACAAACCTAGAAACAATTGGGGATTCGAACCCACGATCACAGGATTCTTGCGAGCTCAAGGGACGTAACTCTGTACAGCGCATTGGACGATTGGCCCACCTGTGCCCCCTAGAGCCCAAATACCAGTAGCCTGAAATAACAACATAAGCAGAAGTTCTTTCCAAATAATAGGGGCGGTCGGGTAGCCTAGTGGTTAAAGCGTTCGCTCGTCACGCCAAAGACCCGGGTTCGATTCCCGACATGGGTACAATGTGTGAAGCCCATTGCTGGAATATTGCTAAAAGCGGCGTAAAACCATACTCACTCACTCTTTCCAAATAGAAATGATCCAAGGTTTATAAATATATGAGTAAACAACGGACACAATCAGTAAACACTGAGACACGGAAGGAAATGTTTATCTATGCTTCAAACAGTTTCTGAAGCTGAATGAATGTATAGAAATATAAATATGCTATAAAATAGATTAACAACCAAAATGTATGTTTCCGTGTATCAGAGGTGAGATGAAATATTATTTTGTTTGTTTGTTGTTTAGCGCGGCACTCAACAATATTCTAGCGATATGACGCCCGGACGGTTTGAAAAGATATCTGACCAAGACAATCCATTGAGTGACATCATGAGCATCGATCTATGCATTTGGGATACGATGACATGCATCAACCGAGTTAGCGAGTCTGACCACCCGATCCCGTTAGTCGCCTCTCACATGCACAGTTGCCTCTTACGACCCCACCAGTGTTGGTCTGTACGTGTTCACCGTTTGAGACACATCAGAAAGCACTTCCACACTTGAATTGTAGTGCTCTTTCCGCAGATGGCAAGAAATAGGTCATTATTGGTTGACGTTTGTAGGCCAGGATTAACGGCAGTACTTAACGAAACGTACTTAACGTTACCAGTCCTTTAAAACCCCCTGGCTACCAGTGTGTGGTATGTATGAAAATGGACCAGCTGTAATCAACGATAATCAAGTCTGAACAAGACAATCCAGTGATTGACATTATGAGCATCGATCAACGCAATTGGGATACGAGTCAGCGAGGATGCCCACCGATCCCAGCAGTCGCTTACGACAAGCATGGGTTGCTGAAGACCAATCATAACCCAGATCTAAAAACTATTGAATTCAATAAGCTACGGATGTACCGAGGAGCAGTACTAACGAGTTCCGTTTTCCCGTACTGCGATATATTCAGTTTCAGGCCGAAAGAGCCACGTAGCTCACGAAAAAAATTTCACATGAACTGAAAAACAATAATCGAGAATGTAAAAAATGTGAAAAATATCATTCATAAATGCCATGATGTCACAAAGGGCATGACACGACAAGTCAGGTTATATAAATATTATGTTGATACCAGTGACAGCCGGGGACACGGAAATATGTCGGTAAGGTTCGTCGTTGTGTTTGGTAGAGTGAGGTGATGGTGGTGAAACGTCGCGTCCAAGATTATTGCACTTATATAGCGACGTGCATGTACGTGTGTGTGTTTGTGTGGCTGCTTGTACTAGTCCGGACTGATGCCGATTTATAGTGCTAACCCACTGAGATACAATGCCGCAGTTTAACATGAATACCCCACTCAGACACAGTATACTGACTCCGAGTCGACCAGTCCTTGTTTTAGCCCCTTCATGTCGAGCGCCAGGCAGGGTAACAACATGTACCATCTTTTAACGTCTTTTGGTATGACGCGGCCGGGGATCGAACCCCGGACCACGGAGGCGGTATGGTAGAGTGAGAGTTGTGTCACTTGACAGTCAGACAAGGGGGCTGTACAGAATAAGTATTTCCGAGGTAATGTAGGATTAATGTCACTGGCTTTCGGTCCGTATGTACTTTTCAAAAGGTGGAGATTGGAACCTCCGTAAGCTTTTGGTTGATCGATACAAAACGATATATGATTACGAAATGGACATGTAGTATAAAAGTGGATTGTCAACTCACGGCGAGGGACACCAGAAATGGGCTTCACACATTGTACCCATGTCGGGAATCGAACCCGGGTCTTCGGCGTGATAGGTGAACGCTTTAACCACTAGGCTACCCGACCGCCCCATCGTGCTGTGAAAAAACAGTATTCCTAATTATGAATATAATACTTACATAGACCATCTCCAAAGGGCCAGTCGGTGATTCCATAGGCAACTGACGTTAGAGGAACACATGCCACAAGAAACAGAATATCCACTACCGACAAGTTCACAAGGTACAAGTTGGTGACGGTGCGCATGGCGGCGTGGCGGACGACGATGTACACAAGCAGGCCATTTCCAATAAGCCCAACAACAAAAATAATAAGAAACAAAGCGGGAACAATTCTCGTCTCCGGCGTAAATATGACAGGTTCTTCCTCATTGTCATTGAAAATATAGATCCCAGAGCTGTTGTAAACACTGAGGTTGCGGAGAAAATCTATTGACATTTTGACTCTGAAATTCTTCAGAAGACTAGTGTCAATGGCTGTACTTTCACTAGGCAACATTTTGGCAGTTAGGTACACGGGTTACGAAGGTAATTGTAGATGAAGATATATCGCAGATGCCCAGTAGGATGCTGGCGTTGGTTGGCGCTCCATGCCGTGTGGTGACGTATAGCGCTAAGAGGCTTTTGATCCGGCAGTTCTAGCTGACTGAAGGTCCCATCTGATGCAGAGCCTCAGAGCGATGATGTCACTGTCGGCGGGGGTGGGAGGAAGGGGGAGGGAGCGTTGTTTCAACCATCCACTAAAATGTGTGTGACCTGGGCAATAAACTTGCTCCGTGCTCAACCAAACAATTACATATGAATGATAAAATAATGGTAACGACTGTAGTTTTTGCCACAAATCATTATCAGATTAGTAACAGGCTCTGACCGCCCCGCAGGCATGAAGCAGAATAGGAACGTTCTCATAGATTAAAAGGTCAAATAACTGGTAATATTTTCTTCTCCATTCAAATTATCCTCCGGTGGTTGTACCCCCTCCATGAGATAAACCATTTAGTTATCATGTATGCGTTAAAACAATAATTACAAAATGTTTTTCATTAGTGTTGGTCGGTTGTTGTTTTTTTGTTTCTATGGCGTGGCGAGTAACATTGTTTTATGATTATGTTAATCATCAGGATCAATTATTGAGTTAATGTGTCGGGAAGTTTGTCTTCTTGTAAACATGTGTGTCATTCACGAACCTCCCTCCACCCTATTAAATTTTATTAAATCGGGTTTCGTGAATCTTTGAAGTCAATAAAATATTTTTTTGGCATGATACACCTTATGCCGAGAAATAAAAGATGTACAGATTTGAGTTTATCAGCAGCAGCAGCAGCAGCAACAACTTCATCAGCAGCAGCATTATTCTTATTATAGTTATTATTCTATTATAGTTATTATTATCGTTATTGGGATTATTACTATCTGAAAACATGAACGGAAAGGTGCTCAAATCGAATTGTTTTACACTTGACGCGGATACGAAACTATGAGATCAACATTCAAGGTAAAATGAAATGTCAAGATAGCCGACATAGATTTGGCAAATCTACAACTTTGCGTTACCCAGTTTTTCCATTCATTATAAAGCAACCATTGAACATTAACGGTATTCCCATCAAACATCATCACTTGTGATAACGGCAAACAGGAATCCCGGCACTCAGCATTCGCACCTGAAAGCTCCACATCCTCTTTCTGTGAACGGCTCGCAGCCTCTGTACCTAATACTTAAATCACAGGCAATCATCCCTAACGGTTCAATAAGATAACTGCGTATGTATAAATGATCATAACGACTTGTTAAGGACCTATTAGGGCTGTTAGCAAGTCGCGTTTAATGACCAAAGGCGAAGAGATGGAACAAGCCCGCTGTGTTGGTTACTTAGGAACCGGACTACACTCCATTTCATAAGCAAGTTCCCCTTTGGCGCGAGACATCATAACGAAATCTCGCGATAGAGATGTGATTTTATTGCGAAAGATGCGTGAAAGTAAAAACAAAATATAGCGGAAGTGCATAGATAGCACCGTGAAAAAGTCACCAAAATGCCGCGGGTTTTCAAAAGTTACACACAATTCGCATAAGAGTGTTGTGATCCTCTGTAATATTATTGCGAACATTGCAAGAGGAATCTTTAAAATAACACCGGAATTTAGCGTACATGCCTCAAAAACGGCTCGCCTACCCCATGATAATGCCGCATTAGAAACTCACCGATGAGTACGGTAAACGAAGGGAAGTTACTTATGAAATGTAGTGTAACAATCACGAGATGTTACGCCAACTCATGTTAAGGTACATATCTCAGAACGGTGCCAGCAAAATGGTTAACACTCAAAATGAAATTAAAAGTGACGGAGGGACTTTGTTTTCATTTCCGACAGCGTTTGTCAGTGTGTGCTAGACAGGTTGTGTAGGTCATTCCAGGCTAAAGGTTTGTTTTTCTGTGCCCGAGATTTTTTATAATTAGTGTGCATGGTGTGAAACAATTTGGATTGTCATCGGCTTGTGTGTTCCCTGGCATGCTGTGACAGTTATTTATTTGGAACAGTTCCTGTTACTGAAGAATTATTAAATAATAATTAATAAAATATGGATAGTGCGTTTTAGTGTAGTGACGCTGTGGGGTTTAACGAACAGTTACCGTTATTATAGGTCGGCCGGTGGCGTTACTTGTATATAACGCTTAAGTTGTTTTTTAAAATAAATATTACATTTATTTTTATAAAAAATTATGAACTTATTTCGTTCCTAGTAACCGTTTTTGCCCTTGGACATTTAATGAAAATTATAAATATATAAAAAATATTGAAATCATCAATTTCTTTCGTTCCAATAATCATCTTGCACCCTTGGTCAAGGTCATTATTAGTCAATAAAAAGACAGTGTATATTATCATTATCATCGTCATCGTCATCATCATCATAATCATCATCATCATCATCTAGTTTAATCTTGTTTTGTTCCTCGTCGGTCGGGGGGCACGGGGGGCCCAGTCGTCTAAGGCGCCGCGATTCGCTGTGCAGAGTTGCGTCCCTTGGGCATGCCAAAAACCTATGATTGTGGGTTCGAATCCCGGTTCGCCCCGATTATGTTTCTAGGTTTGTCAGCACCATATCCGTGCTCGTTGGTTTCACCGAAGTGGTAAACGTCTGAGACCTGCATCACTTCGGGCTTTCCTCCCACATTAAGCTGACACGCCTTGATATAACTGGAAAGGTGTTAAAAGCGGCGTTAAACACAACTCACTCACTCACTCACTCACTCACTCACTCACTCACTCACTCACTCACTCACTCACTCACTCACTCACTCACTCACTCACTCACTCACTCACTCACTCACTCACTCACTCACTCACTCACTCACTCACTCACTCACTCACTCACTCACTCACTCACTCACTCACTCACTCACTCACTCACTCACTCACTCACTCACTCACTCACTCACTCACTCACTCACTCACTCACTCACTCACTCACTCACTCACTCACTCACTCACTCACTCACTCACTCACTCACTCACTCACTCACTCACTCACTCACTCACTCACTCACTCACTCACTCACTCACTCACTCACTCACTCACTCACTCACTCACTCACTCACTCACTCACTCACTCACTCACTCACTCACTCACTCACTCACTCACTCACTCACTCACTCACTCACTCACTCACTCACTCACTCACTCACTCACTCACTCACTCACTCACTCACTCACTCACTCACTCACTCACTCACTCACTCACTCACTCACTCACTCACTCACTCCCTTCCTCGTCGGTCAGTCAAAACTTGCTAATTACCATGCAAGGATGTACGGCATAAAGTGGGGTTTTCCTCTAGTAAATTATGCTATTCTATTCTGCAGAACCGCATTGGATCAAGGCGACATGAAAGTTGATGTTCTGGGCATCTTGACGTTGAGGGAATGCTCTATGATTGGAGGGGTGTAGAATGTTCATCTTAATGGGGTCAGGACTCTGTGAGTTTCAACTGTTGCGAATAAGTCCAGGCGCGTTCGTTACAGTACATCCTTTGATTAAGGCTTGAGGAAGTGTGGTGTGTCTGTCTGTGTGGAGAGCGGGAGTGCATCGATCTAAATGTTACAAGGGTGCAGGTTTGAGTGAAGTGGATTCTTGAGGAAAGAGTTTGTTGAGGAGAATTCTGTTCCTGGGAGGGCTGGGTGGGGAGGGGTAAGGTAGTGTCGGGGCTGGGGGATGGTGACGGAGTGATTTAATGTGGGGTTAGGGTGGTGTGTGGGGTGAGGGAGGTTTAGGTGTAGCGTTTAGAGGGCGGGTTGTGGTTTATTGTGGCGTTGGGGTGTGTGGAGGGGGGGTGAGAGTAGGTTATGGTGGTGAAGGGGGTTTGGGACGGGGTGAGTGTGGTTTATTGTAGTGTAGAGGGTGGGGGTGGGGGTGGGGGGGGGGGGTGAGTGTGGTTTATGATGGTGTAGAGGGTGGGGGACGGAGTGAGGGGGTTTATGATGGTGTAGAGCGTAGAGGACGGGGTGAGTGTGGTTTATGATGGTGTAGAGGGTAGAGGACGGGGTGAGGGGGTTTATGATGGTGTAGAGCGTAGAGGACGGGGTGAGTGTGGTTTATGATGGTGTAGAGGGTAGAGGACGGGGTGAGGGGGGTATATGATGGTGTTGAGGGTAGAGGACGGGTGAGTGTGGTTTATGATGGTGTAGAGGGTAGAGGACGGGGTGAGGGGGGTTTATGATGGTGTAGAGGGTAAAGGACGGGGTGAGTGTGGTTTATGATGGTGTAGAGGGTAGAGGACGGGGTGAGTGTGGTTTATGATGGTGTAGAGGGTAGAGGACGGGGTGAGTGTGGTTTATGGTGGTGTAGAGGGTAGAGGACGGGGTGAGTGTGGTTTATGGTGGTGTAGAGGGTAGAGGACGGGGTGAGTGTGGTTTATGGTGGTGTAGAGGGTAGAGGACGGGGTGAGTGTGGTTTATGGTGGTGTAGAGGGTAGAGGACGGGGTGAGTGTGGTTTATGGTGGTGTAGAGGGTAGAGGACGGGGTGAGGGGGGTTTATGGTGGTGTAGAGGACGGGGTGAGTGTGGTTAATGGTGGTATAGAGGGTGGGGGACGGTGTGAGTGTGGTTTATGGTGGTGTAGAGGGTAGAGGACGGGGTGAGTGTGGTTTATGGTGGTGTAGAGGGTAGAGGGCGGGGTGAGTGTGGTTTATGGTGGTGTAGAGGGTAGAGGACGGGGTGAGTGTGGTTTATGGTGGTGTAGAGTTTGGTGGACGGGGTGAATGTAGGTTATGGTGGTGAAGAGGATTGGGAAGCAGCGAGTGTGGTTGATGGTGGTGTAGGGGGATGGGGAGTGGGGTGAGAGTGGGTTATGGTGGTGTGGAGGGATGGAAACGGTGTGTGTATGATTTATGGTAGTGTTGAGGATGGGGAAGCAGCGAATGTTGTTTATGGTGGCGTGTGGGATGAGGGGGAGTGTCGGTTCTGGTGGTGTTGGGGGTGGGGACGGAGTGAGCGTGGTTAATGGTGGCGTGGGTGTGGGTGGGGGGGGGGGGGGGTGGGGTGGAGTGTCGGTTATGGTAGCGTTAGGGTTTGGGGACGGGGTGAGTGTTGTAGAGGGTTAGGGTGGTGTAGTGATGCGGGGAGCGTGTCGAGAACTATGAAGGATCTATGATGGCGTTTAGGGAGACCGGTGGCAGGGGTGACATATGCAGGACGAGTATTGTCGGATGATGTAGATGTGTGGGGTGTGTGTGTGTGGGGTGTGTGTGTGTGGGGGGGGGGGGGGTGTATTAATGTGGGGGTCGAGAAGTGTAGGGGTGTAGGGTGATGTTGAGAAGTGAATAGTGGGGTCGGGAGTCGGGGAGGGGGTAGAGAGGGACTCGGTAATGATGCGGACTTTGAGAAGCAGTAAGTGTGTAGGATGGTGTAGTGAGGGAGTTGGTGTATATGGAGGTCGAGGACGGAAAGGGGTAAGGTTGACAGGTTGCCTTTGTGACTCTGTTTTGAGGTTTTGAGGTGCCTAGCGTGTCGTCTCACCTAATCACACATACCACACCCTCTAGCACACACACACACACACACACACACACACACACACACACACACACACACACACACACACACACACACACACACACACACACACACACCATGCCCCCGCCCCCCACCTCACACTATCATTCACACTACAGCTACAACAACGCGGAAGTAACGCTGTAAAACCCATTCGGGCTACCTTCGGTTGGCGAGACCCCCGTCAACCATGACCTACAACAAAGGGTGAATCACATCCACGTGATGTGTTTATAGCAATTTACTTCCCCTTTCAATCCTCTGTACATGGTAGCCGGAGAATATATGCACAGTGTAGGAGCAGAGGTGAACAACTGACAACGAGGTCATTCAAAATGTTGTGGATCGTCCTTGCTGCGTCCTTCGTACCTGTCGCGAACTGTGTTCAATGTATGTCACAGACGGGTAGTCCAGTTGACTGGTGAGTCCTTTAAATAACGATAGCGCATGGTGTATTGGAGGGGACTGTCTCTAACCCTATCGCCCCGGGTATGGCGTGTGGATATGTAGCAGAACGTGCGTGTTATGACGAATTCCGTGGTTGAAATGATTTTATTATATCCCTTTTTTCACAATGTGTATGGATTTGATTGAGTTTGTGTTTTGGCAAAACTGTAATTATCAAATTATCATCTTCCGCGTAGACTATCGAAACAGTATCTGCAGTTCAAGTGACCGTGGAAATAATTCGAGCAGTCCCACACTGAACACATATAACGAGGAAACGTGTGACGTCATGTTCCCCTTTTCTGAAAAATGAATGTCGACAGTCTGCTCTCATTCGTGACCAACTCGTGTTATTCCGGGACAAGCCGAATAGCGACTCGTGCCCCTCTCGTGGCCATTTTTGCGACTAGGTTCCGTCTTCGCGCAAACGGGCATACCTAAAACAATTGTCAACTCGTTGCGTAATGGTTCACATATATTTCCCCATATATTATATATATTTCAGATGCAATTTAAAGGACATGGGGACGTGCGGAATAATACAGTATGATTGAACACATTTAACTGTGTCTTGGGTATATTTTTAGATGCAAGACATATGTAAAATCAAAATTTATTTCTGAGGGATTATTTGACAAAGAACACGAAATCATACGCGCATTCTGATTGGTTTGTCGTATTTTCGCACATAACATTCATCGAGAGGGGGACGAGTCTTCTTGCAGGTTACGGAAAGGGGCGAGTGTTGACGAATGAGTCTGCTCTCTCTCTCTCTCTCTCTCTCTCTCTCTCTCTCTCTCTCTCTCTCTCTCTCTCTCTCTCTCTCTCTCCCTCCCTCTTAGTAGAGGACAGCTTTTCCAGGGGGCGGTGTTACCAGGATGCGGTGTTACGAGGGGATGGAGTTACGAGGGGACTGTGTTATAGTGGGGCGGTATGACGAGGGTGAAGTCGATTTTCCAAGAGGTCACTTTTAATGAAGTCAGTTTTCTGTGGGTGTTTTTCCTAAGGGTCAATTTTCCTGAGGGTCAGTTTTACCATTGCTCAGGTTTCCTAGGGGACAATTTCCCTGAGGGTCAGAATATCATTGCGCAGTTTCTTGAGGGTCAGTTTTCTTGAGGCAGGGTTCCCACTGGTAACCTTTCCAGTGAGCAGTTTCTCTACAGACACATGAAGAATAACTTTAATTAATCTGTGTCAGTCCGGATAGGGGAAGATGGCTGGTTCGATCTTCGGTCCGCGTCATACCAAACTACGTTAAAAACTGGAATTTGTTGTACGGTGTTAAGAAATAAAACAAGGATCGGACGAAGTCAGTCTGCGTCTGCAAACATGTTAAACTGCGGCATCGTATGGACGTTGGCTAGCACTATAGATATGTTATTTGTCCGTTACAATATGGTACAAGTAGGGCTAGGACGGGTAAGTCGGGTACCCTGATCGGGTTGGTACTGAGTAGGTACCGGGTACCGAGAAGACTACCCGGACCCGTGGCTAGTCACGTGGTTATATTGTTTAATGGCAAAAAAATGTTCAATTTTTTCCAACTATGCACTCATTCCTTCTGACTTTATATGTTTGCATAAAGATAAAACTTCAGTGTATGCATGACCAGATCATTTTATACCTGTATCTAAATACATTTTGACAGGAGTACGGTCAAACGTTTCCCAATCGGACATCTCTTGAGACCTACAGCGGGTACCCGGTTAGGGTCGGGTAATAGGGAGGTGGGTACCTGGGTAGTAAATTTGGACTCGTCCCAGCCCAAGGTACAAGCAAGCACACACTCGCATGTGCACCTCTCTACATAGGTTAAATAGCCTTGAAACCCAACAGTTCACAATCAATGGTGTTAAATTGATCCATATTATTGATACTTTTTTCCACACTTTAATTTTTGTTTACCTGTTTAAGACTGTTTGAACAGGAAAAACATTTTAGATAAAATACGATTTACCAGCTAGTACACAAAGTGTTAGGTTATGCTGTGTCGTCAAAATTCGCTTCCTGCAAACAACTGGGTTTCCAGGCAACGGCACGCTTGTGTCGAAACCACCTCGAACGAGGATTATTTCCTCCACTTTTCCGATTTCACATTAAACGATTCACCACGAAACGGAATAGATATGATTAGATAACAAGAATATTGACCTTGGACATTTTCCTCTACGACAGCTGGCCTACAATACAATCGTCTCATCTATTCCTTACACTTCCGACCCGTGAATATCTTGGGTAGAATAGGTCTTCAGCAACCCATGCTTGTCGTAAAAGGCGACAAAGCTTGTCGTAAGAGGCGACTTACGGATCGGGTGGTCAGTCTCGCTGACTTGGTTGATGCATGTCGTCGTATCTCAATTGCGTAGAACGATGCTCATGATATCAATCACTGGATTGTCTGGTCCAGACTCGATTATTTACAGACCGCCGTCACATAGATGGAATATTGTTGAGAGCGGCGTCAAACAACAAACAAACAAACAAACAAACTTTACGCTTCCTATTGGCATGGGTGGCTTATTCCCTGACCTTGACCTCTGACTAATCTTGACCAAACCCGTATCAAAGACGGGCCCCAAAGACAAAGTATATACCAACTTGATAAAATGTGTCAGTGTAATATAAAAAAAACTTCCAGTGAGGTTTTTTCTCGTGACCTTGACCTTTGACCGTTTCACAGGCCTGCTGACTTCCCTGCCAAGCTAGCGGATAATATCAATCTACATCACATAATTCAATTGGTCATTCAATGCAACCGTTACTACCAATTTGCAACAAGTGATTCAACACTTCAGTCAATGCACTAGTTCTGAGGGGCGGTCGGGTAGCCTAGTGGTTAAAGCGTTAGCTCGTCACGCCGAAGACCCGGGTTCGATTCCCGACGTTAAAAGCTAAAAGCGGCGTAAAACCATACTCACTCACTCACTCACTAGTTCTGAATCTGCGTCACCAACAGGTTTATTGTCTACAAGCTGCCATCTCTCAGAGAAAACGGGACTCATTCAGTGGGTCGCTCTGTGGGTGCCTCGGTGCGTCATGACTCAGGCCACTTCTACATGGACGTCAACAACCCCACGTGGACTCTGTCTAAAGTCCTCATGAAGAACCCGAAACACGCCGTCTACAACACGCTCCAGACAATCTACCAGGCCAAAACTGTGAGTTTATTTTTTCTAAAACAAAACACGTGGAAACAGAGGAAGACGAGGAGTTTTAAGAGCATTGACCATAAACTGATCAATAAAACCTATAAACATCACCAAAATTCATTGGTTTTCATGGCTTGTAGTTGGTTTATCTGTGGGAAGGAATCGCTAGCGTACTGCAGATATAACGACTATATTTACTGCGTCCCATTGCCAGTGTTACCTTCTCCTTAAATGCCTGTGCCAGTGTTACCTTCTCCTCTAAATGCCCATTGCCAGTGTCACCCTCTCTCCTAAATGCCTGTTGCCAGTGTTACCCTCTCCCCCTAAATGCCTGTTGCCAGTGTCACCCTCTCCCCCTAAATGCATGTTGCCAGTGTTACCCTCTCCCCCTAAATGCCTGTTGCCAGTGTCACCCTCTCCCCTAAATGCCTGTTGCCAGTGTCACCCTCTCCCCTAAATGCCTGTTGCCAGTGTCACCCTCTCCCCCTAAATGCCTGTGCTAGTGTCACCCTCTCCCCTAAATGCCTGTTGCCAGTGTCACCCTCTCCCCTAAATGCCTGTTGCCAGTGTCACCCCCTCCTCTAAATGCCTGTGCCAGTGTTACCCTCTCCCTCTAAATGCCTGTGCTAGTGTCACCCTCTCCCCCTAAATGCCTTTTGCCAGTGTCACCCTCTCCTCTATAAGCCCATTGCCAGTGTCACCCTCTCTCCTAAATACATGTTGCCAGTGTCACCCTCTCTCCTAAATACATGTTGCCAGTGTTACCCTCTCCCCCTAAATGCCTGTTGCCAGTGTCACCCTCTCCCCTAAATGTCTGTTGCCAGTGTCACCCTCTCCCCTAAATGTCTGTTGCCAGTGTTACCCTCTCCCCCTAAATGCCTGTGCTAGTGTTACCCTCTCCCCTAAATGCCTGTTGCAAGTGTCACCCTCTCCCCTAAATGCCTGTGCTAGTGTTACCCTCTCCCCTAAATGCCTGTTGCCAGTGTTACCCTCTTCCCCTAAATGCCTGTTGCCAGTGTTACCATCTCCCCTAAATGCCTGTGCTAGTGTTACCCTCTCCCCTAAATGCCTGTTGCCAGTGTTACCCTCTCTCCTAAATGCCTGTTGCCAGTGTCACCCTCTCCTCTAAATGCCTGTTTCCAGTGTTACCCTCTCCCCTAAATGTCTGTTGCCAGTGTCACCCTCTCCCCTAAATGTCTGTTGCCAGTGTTACCCTCTCCCCCTAAATGCCTGTTGCAAGTGTCACCCTCTCCCCTAAATGCCTGTGCTAGTGTTACCCTCTCCCCTAAATGCCTGTTGCCAGTGTTACCCTCTTCCCCTAAATGCCTGTTGCCAGTGTTACCATCTCCCCTAAATGCCTGTGCTAGTGTTACCCTCTCCCCTAAATGCCTGTTGCCAGTGTTACCCTCTCTCCTAAATGCCTGTTGCCAGTGTCACCCTCTCCTCTAAATGCCTGTTTCCAGTGTTACCCTCTCCCCTAAATGCATGTTGCCAGTGTCACCCTCTCCCCTAAATGCCTGTTGCCAGTGTCACCCTCTCCCCTAAATGCCTGTGCTAGTGTTACCCTCTCCTCTAAATGCATGTTGCCAGTGTCACCCTCTCCCCTAAATGCCTGTTGCCAGTGTCACCCTCTCCCCTAAATGTATGTTGTCAGTGTCACCCTCTCCCCCTAAATGCCTGTGCTAGTGTCACCCTCTCCTCTAAATGCCTGTTGCCAGTGTTACCCTCTCCCCTAAATGCCTGTTGCCAGTGTCACCCTCTCCCCTAAATGTATGTTGTCAGTGTCACCCTCTCCTCTAAATCCCTGTTGCCAGTGTTACCCTCTCCCCTAAATGCCTGTTGCCAGTGTCACCCTCTCCCCTAAATGCCTGTTGCCAGTGTCACCCTCTCCCCTAAATGTATGTTGTCAGTGTCACCCTCTCCTCTAAATGCCTGTTGCCAGTGTCACCCTCTCCTCTAAATGCCTGTTGCCAGTGTCACCTTCTCCCCCTAAATGCATGTTGCCAGTGTTACCCTCTCCCCCTAAATGCCTGTTGCCAGTGTCACCCTCTCCCCTAAATGCCTGTTGCCAGTGTCACCCTCTCCCCTAAATGCCTGTTGCCAGTGTCACCCTCTCCCCTAAATGCATGTTGCCAGTGTCACCCCCTCCTCTAAATGCCTGTGCCAGTGTTACCCTCTCCCTCTAAATGCCTGTGCTAGTGTCACCCTCTCCCCCTAAATGCCTGTTGCCAGTGTCACCCTCTCCTCTATAAGCCCATTGCCAGTGTCACCCTCTCTCCTAAATACATGTTGCCAGTGTCACCCTCTCTCCTAAATACATGTTGCCAGTGTTACCCTCTCCCCCTAAATGCCTGTTGCCAGTGTCACCCTCTCCCCTAAATACATGTTGCCAGTGTCACCCTCTCCCCTAAATGTCTGTTGCCAGTGTCACCCTCTCCCCTAAATGCCTGTTGCCAGTGTTACCCTCTCCCCCTAAATGCCTGTGCTAGTGTTACCCTCTCCCCTAAATGCCTGTTGCAAGTGTCACCCTCTCCCCTAAATGCCTGTGCTAGTGTTACCCTCTCCCCTAAATGCCTGTTGCCAGTGTTACCCTCTTCCCCTAAATGCCTGTTGCCAGTGTTACCATCTCCCCTAAATGCCTGTGCTAGTGTTACCCTCTCCTCTAAATGCCTGTTGCCAGTGTTACCCTCTCTCCTAAATGCCTGTTGCCAGTGTCACCCTCTCCTCTAAATGCCTGTTGCCAGTGTCACCCTCTCCCCTAAATGCCTGTTGCCAGTGTCACCCTCTCCCCTAAATGCCTGTGCTAGTGTTACCCTCTCCCCTAAATCCCTGTTGCCAGTGTTACCCTCTCTCCTAAATGCCTGTTGCCAGTGTTACCCTCTCCCCTAAATGCATGTTGCCAGTGTCACCCTCTCCCCTAAATGCCTGTTGCCAGTGTCACCCTCTCCCCTAAATGCCTGTGCTAGTGTTACCCTCTCCCTCTAAATGCATGTTGCCAGTGTCACCCTCTCCCCTAAATGCCTGTGCTAGTGTTACCCTCTCCTCTAAATGCATGTTGCCAGTGTCACCCTCTCCCCTAAATGCCTGTTGCCAGTGTCACCCTCTCCCCTAAATGTATGTTGTCAGTGTCACCCTCTCCTCTAAATGCCTGTTGCCAGTGTCACCTTCTCCCTCTAAATGCCTGTTGCCAGTGTCACCCTCTCCTCTAAATGCCTGTTGCCAGTGTCACCCTCTCCCCTAAATGTATGTTGCCAGTGTCACCCTCTCCTCTAAATCCCTGTTGCCAGTGTTACCCTCTCCTCTAAATGCCTGTTGCCAGTGTCACCCTCTCCCCTAAATGTCTAAGGCTATGCTGGTGATATTGGAAAACGCTGATGTATCTTTTCAGACTGATGACTTCGCGTATGTTATGTACAATGACAAAACTCCAGCTGGAAAGGAACCAGAGAGCGACGGACATTCAAAAGGTATTAAACTGGTGACAATGAAACCTACAGAGTGTCAGTTATGATGTATCCGACATTGTCAGTCTTTACTCATTAATGACGCAATGTGGCCCACCTATCTGACATGGTAAGAATGGCAAAGTCTCCACAGATCTGAAAGTCCAATGTAATACGAGCTGGTAAAAAGGTTCTAAGTCTAACAAACGACACCAACAATTGTGAAATTATTTTTCAACATAATCTCCCTGCTTGTCAGTATCTTATATCGATAGTGAATCTTTTCAATTCAAGACAGGAAGACGTTTTCTGAAGCCACCATGAAAAGCCATATATGACAGCTTTCAGGTCATCGTTGTCGTCGTAGTGCTTTCCACGAAGGTGGTATTTCAGTTCAGGAAACAGGTGGAAATCACTTGGTGCCAGGTCTGGCGAGTATGGAGGGTGAGGAAACTCTTCGAACCCACATTATCGCACAGCGGCTTTGCAAGTCGAGAGGTGTGAGAAGAGGCATTATCGTGAAGTAGTAGAACTCCAGCAGTTAGCATTTCTCGCCGCTTTCCTTTTTTTTACTCACGCACTCTTATTCGTGGGGTGCCCTTTTAATAAAATGAATGTGACATGTTTGTGATTCCACAGAACAGTTAGATTTTAACGGATACACATCTATTGTAGGTGTATTTGCTTTTGACAAGGAAGCGGGGTTTTGGCTGGTGCATAGCACCCCTGGGTTTCCACCAAACCGTGCAGATGGCTACAACTGGCCTGATACTGCTCTCGTCAATGGGCAAAGCTTTCTATGTGTTTCTTACAGTTATTCACAGCTGAACAACATCGGTAAGTACATTTTTAAACAGTAATGTTGTTGTGATCCTTTACTACACCTACCATGTACCAATATAACAACAACACTCAGAGGCATACATTCACTCAGCTTCTGACTTCATCAGAAATATGTAAGTAGTTTAGAATTTGTTATTGGTAATACAATAAGCGACTAGGGGTAATAATTAGAACAAGAACTCGGAATTTCCATACATCTATCCCTCGTGACTTTATGTTGAAGGACCGCCTCCGTGGTCTAGTGGTAGAGCCTCCGCCCGGAGAGCGGAAGGTCCGGGGTTCGATCCCCGGCTGCGTCATACCAAAAGACGTTAAAAGATGGTACTTGTTGTTACCCTGTCTGGCGCTCGGCATTAAGGGGCTAAAACAAGGACTGGTCGGCTCGGAGTCAGTATACTGTGTCTGAGTGGGGTATTCATGTTAAACTGCGGCATGGTATCTCAGTGAGCTGCACTATAAATCGGCATCAGTCCGGACTAGTACAAGCAGCCACACAAACACACACACGTACATGCACGTCGCTATATAAGTGCAATAATCTTGGACGCGACGTTAAACCCCATTTCACCTCAACTTTATGTTCAAACATGCATTTACTTGGACAGATGATCAGCAGCATTGATTTAGAATTTTGATATGTAAATATTGTCTTGTGTCAAAGTCAATATGATTGTTAGAGCATTGTCAATCGCGATCAAGCATTTGTTCTCACCATTATGCCCCAAATGCCACGGTAGGATATTGCAACAGTTTTTTTTATTAAAAAACCGTCAGACTTTGACAGTAAGTGGGATCATTTCTGTATATTACTACTCTAGGAGTTGGGTAACCGCATGGTTAAAGCGTTAGTTATGTTGAAGACCCGGGTTTGACTTCCCTCAGGGGAATAAGGTTAATTCTTGTTCAAAAATTGCTGTCAAATGGATTGAAGAAAGGTAAAATGCACCTCACTCAATCCACAAAGCGTATAGCTCACAGCTTGACTGAGTACTGTGTATTGTTGTCAGCTTCCCAGATCGTGTACAACTATGTACAAGTGTATGACCACATGGCCTCGGCGAGCTTCCTGTCAGACAACCCGAGTCTGGCCGCAGTCATCAACCACAAACATCCAGGACGAAGAACCGCCAACAAGGTCCAGCTGACGTCCAAACAGGGCACACCGTTCCTCAGCTTTGCCAAGACTGCCGCCTTCAACGACGGTAAAAAGCAGCAAACTGAGTTCAACCAGAGTTGAATTCAGACAAAACCTTCAGGACAATTATATAACGTATACTCAGAAGTTCGACATTTTTGCATAAATATTGGATTTTTTTTTTTTTTTTTTTCCCAGAAATACTGGACTTCCTCAATGATAAGATCCATGTGTAATTTGGAGACAAAACATTGAGGCAAAAAGTTGCATCCTCAAAAGTACCGGGGCGGTCGGGTAGCCCAGTGGTTAAAGCGTTCGCTCTTCACGCCGAAGACCCTGGTTCGATTCCCGACATGGGTACAATGAGTGAAGCCCATTTCCGGTGCCCCCCCCCCCCCCCCCGTGATATTGCTGGAATATTGCTAAAAGCGGCGTAAAACCATACTCACTCACTCACTCACTCACTCAAAAGTACCAATTGTGCTCTTCTTCTTGCTGATTTGTTTTCATATGCATATTTGCATATTAATCTGAATTTCTGTCTGCTCGGTTTGGCATGTCAAACCAAGGGAATCTGGCAACGCTTCAGGTATGTCAATGATCTGTTATCGTTCAATAACGGTCAGATACTCCCTTCCATTGATTTACCCACCGGAACCAGGAATGAAAGGAGCCAGAATCCGCCTTATGTTTTATATTTAAATTACTGCATAAAGATTCCGAGTGACAACCCTCTCCACAAGACTGAATGACAGTATGTCTGTCAGTGCTGGTTGAACAGTTGAGGGTGTGTTGATAAGATAGATTAAGGTTTAATTTACATTTTCTTCCTTTTTTCAGATTTGTATTCAGCGTTTGTTGCACCGGTGCTGCAGAGTGGCCTGATGACCGAGACGTGGCAGGATGGGGTTGGGAAGATGCCGTCCGACTGCAGCAGCAGCTACAAGGTAACATAACAGGAGTTGGTCTGACTTCATTTTCAGTTGGACAACGTACATCTGCATTTATTTAGCAAGCCTCACAATCACTGAAAATAGATGAAAAGTATGTATATAAAAAACATTTATCTTCCTGTTAACATTTCTTTCATTTCAGGTGTACAATGTGAAGGCTATCACTCTACCAAATGGTATCGACTTCAAGGAGACCAAAGACCACTCCAAGTGGGCTGTCTCTATGACGGGCAACTGGGCGTGCATTGGGGACATCAACAGACAGGTGGGTAGGCTTGACGCCACCCTATAAAGCAGGCCAAAGCCATACGACAGTGTCTCCTACTTTATTTTCACATGCACCGAAACCCTGCAACAGATAGTTCGGATCTCGTCATTCCAACTTTTTTTTATCCAGCTAGCTATCATGTCATTTAACACAGATAGTGTATCAGGTTCATACGAAGTACTAATGTCCAGATCAGTTCTTAATGTTCCCTTTCAGCAGTATAGTTCCCTTTCAACTCCTTCTGGTAGACAGGGGGCGGTCGGGTAGCCTAGTGGTTAAAGCGTTCGCTCGTTACGCCGACGACCCGGGTTCGATTCCCGACATGGGTACAATGTGTGAAGCCCATTTCTGGTGTCCCCCGCCGTGATATTGTTGGAATATTGCTAAAAGCGGCGTAAAACCATACTCACTCACTCTGGTAGACAGGCCCTCATACTATGTGGTTCCATCTCCATTGTTCTTTGTTTTCGTCAGTACACGCGTATATATATACCACACCAACAGACCCCTGAAGATTCCGGGGTAGAATAGGTCTTCAGCAACCCATGCTTGCCGTAAAAGGTGACTATGCTTGTCGTAATAGGCGACTAACGGGATCGGGTGGTCAGGCTCGCTGACTTGGTTGATGCATGTCATCGATCCCAATTGCATGGATCGATGCTCATGATATTAATCACTGGGTTGTCTGGTCCAGACTCGATTATTTACAGACCGCCGTCATATAGCTGGAATATTGCTGAGTGCGGCGTTAAACAACGAAAGAACCAACCAACCACACCAACAAGTTGTTAATTACGTTAATCCGAACACTTTCATAGAAGTGTACCCTCCGGATCAATGCGTTTTCACTACGTGAAAATGAATTCTGCTTTAAGGGGAAATTTTTATTTTTATGGAAAGGTTTTGTCGTATATATATTTATTACGTTGGCAAGGAAGTCGACGACTTTGCATGGATTATAGACAGAAACTGAAACATCTTCATCACTTTCAGCTCCATCAGATGAAGAGAGGAGGAGGTACCGTGTGTCTACAGAATGAAAAGGTGTGGTCTCAGTTCAACAGCAGCGTGAAGGCGTATGAGCATTGCTAGAGCATCGGGAGACCCTTTTCATGTAAATGCGATGGATTGCATTGCGTTGTTGCTCTTTAAACCTATTACTTATTAATGTTATGCTATATAGGGTTTTTCTTATTATATCTGAAATTCGGAGTTCTTTTTGGGATAATAAAATCTTTTTGCAACTTTAGGGCAGAAAATGTCTGTTTTGTGTGAATGTGAGAATAAATATAGATAACGGTCGACGCAAACATCACTGTAGGTCGCTCACTCACCCACTCACTCACTCACTCACTCGCCTATTCTCTCACCCACTCACTCACTCAATCGGGGCGGTAGGGTAGCCCAGTGGTTAAAGCGTTCGCTCGTCACGCCAAAAACCCGGGTTCGATTCCCGACATGGGTACAATGTGTGAAGCCCATTTCTGGTGTCCCCCGCCGTGATATTGCTGGAATATTGCTAAAAGCGGCGTAAAACCATACTCACTCACTCACTCACTCACTAACGCAATCAATCACTCTATCACTCACTCACTCACTCACGCACTCACTCACGCAATCAATCAATCAATCAATCAATCAATCAATCAATCAATCAATCAATCAATCAATCACCAGCCCACCCGTCCACGGGGATCACCCGAGGAACATATCCAAGTGTCAATGACCAGAATAACAAAAATGTCATTTGGTAATTTAGGTAATCCCTGCGATTACTGGGAACACATTTGTCACTGAACTGCGAAATACGTGCGTATCATGTTCTCATTATGATTCGTTTGTTTGTTTGTTGTTGTTTTTTTGTTTTTGTTTTTTGTTTGTTTGTTTTGTTTGTTTGTTTGTTTGTTTGTTTAACGCCGCACTCAGCAATATTCGAGCTATGACGGCGGTCTGTAAATAATCCAGTCTGGATCAGACAATCCAGTGATTGATATCATGGGCATGAGGTGAGGGTAGATATCCTGTATTAGGAAAAAATGTATTTAGCGAACGTTGGGCGAGGCCTGCTAAATTATGTATTTATGTATCATCCAAAAACACAACAGCGTGGTAACCTCCATTTATCGACTTATCGTTTGAAGAAATGACGTCATCTCTATATCTGAACGAGAGGTTGAACCTTTTGGCAACGTGTCCTTTCTTTGATTTGACTAAAGTTTCTTGTAATGAAAAAGATGAACTAAGAGAGTAACAAAGTAAGTAGCTATGTAGAGACGTGCCACTTGTCTTAATGTACTATAACCAATTTTGACCAAAAAATATGTTGTCAATCAGGAAAGCCAGCAAATCACATATTTGAGTATCATAATATTTATAATAATTTATAGTAATTTCGGTCTTAATAAAATGGACCACATCCATAAACATTTGTAAAAAAAATAATTCTGAACTCCTCGGAACCAAGGGCCCTATTGATTAGAGAATTACTTTCATATCGAATGTATCATGAAGGAGAGTGGTATGAGAATCAGATTTTTTTAAAACTTGAAATTATCATCCTGCCTGAGATTGAGTCAATGTTTTTAATATTTCAAGGACAGCCTACTGGTATAGCGTCCGCCCGGCGAGCGGAAGGTCCGGGGTTCGATCCCCGGCTGCGTCATACCAAAAGATGTTTAAAGATGGTACTTGTTACCCTGTCTGGCGCTCGGCATTAAGGGGCTTAAACAAGGACTGGTCGGCTCGGAGTCAGTATACTGTGTCCTAGTAGGGTATTCATGTTAAACTGCAGCATGGTATCTCAGTGTGCTAGCACTATAAATCGGCATCAGTCCGGACTAGTACAAGCAGCCACACAAACACACGTGCATGCACGTCGCTATATACTCGTAAGTGCAATAATCTTGGACGCGACGTTAAAACCCATTTCACCTCACCTCACCTAATATTTCAAGATTGACATTTCATCGACATTTAAAGTCTACTTGTCTCCTATATTCTCTGACATTATTTAATTAGACCCTGCTTGTTTGTTGACAGAAGTATTGCCAGTAGTTTTGACAGGGATTCGGTTGCAGGACACTGCAATACGTCTGTCTTTATATGGACTCTTATGAAGCTAGGGAAGCCAGTGAAGTGCTTGGAACAAGCACGGAAGACAAACAATGTCTTCAAATCTGTATTTCATTTCCCCTGTATGAAATGTTGGGGAAAACAAGTCAAGATAGAAATAGAGCGCCTTTCCATCATCTTAAACTGATTCCGACGTGCTTTTGTTAATCAGAAATTTCTCGAATTTCATATCCGAGTATCTTTACCCAGCATACCATGAAGTAAGTTGCACAGCACGGTACACTTCATGGTACACTTCATGGTACACTTCATGGTACACATCATGGTACACGGCTTGGTTCACAGCACGGTACACTTCATGGTACACTTCATGGTACACTTCATGGTACACAGCATGGTACACGGCTTGGTTCACAGCTAGTACACTTCATGGTACACAGCACGGTACACTTCATGGTACACAGCATGGTTCAAAGCATGGTACACAGCATGGTACACAGAATGGTACACAGCATGGTACACTTCATGGTACACTTCATTGTTCACAGCACGGTACACAGCACGGTACGCAGCATGGTACACTTCATGGTACACAGTATGGTACACTTCATGGTACACAGCACGGTACACAGCCTGGTACACAGCTTGGCTCACAGCTTGGTTTACAGCACGGTACACAGCCTGGTACACAGCATGGTGCACAGCACGGTACAAAGCATTGTACACAGCACGGTACACAGCATGGTACACGGCTTGGTTCACAGCACGGTACACAGCATGGTACACAGCACTGTACACAACATGGTACACAGCACGGTACACAGCATGGTACACGGCTTGGTTCACAGCACGGTACACAGCATGGTACACAGCACGGTACACAGCATGGTACACAGCATGGTACACAGCACGGTACACAACATGGTACACAGCACTGTACACAGCACGGTACACAGCACGGTACACAGCATGGTACACAGCACGGTACACAGCATGGTACACAGCACGGTACACAGCATGGTACACAGCATGGTACACAGCATGGTACACAGCACGGTACACGGCTTGGTTCACAGCACGGTACACAGCACGGTAGACGGCTTGGTTCACAGCATGGTACACAGCACGGTACACAGCATGGTACACAGCACGGTACACAGCACGGTACACAGCACGGTACACAGCACGGTACACAGCATGGTACACAGCACGGTACACAGCACGGTACACAGCACGGTACACAACATGGTACACAGTATGGTACACGGCTTGGTAAACAGCACGGTACACAGCCTGGTACACAGCACTGTACACAGCACGGTACACAGCACGGTACACGGCTTGGTTCACAGCAATGTACACAGCACGGTACACGGCTTGGTACACAGCACGGTACACAACATGGTACCCAGCACTGTACACAGCTTGGCTCACAGCTTGGTTTACAGCACGGTACACAGCACGGTACACAGCACGGTACACAGCACGGTACACGGCTTGGTACACAGCACGGTACACAGCACGGTACACAGCACGGTACACGGCTTGGTACACAGCACGGTACACAACATGGCACACAGCACTGTACACAGCTTGGCTCACAGCTTGGTTTACAGCACGGTACACAGCCTGGTACACAGCACGGTACACGGCACTGTACACAGCACGGTACACGGCATGGTACACAGCACGGTACACAACATGGTACACAGCACGGTACACAACATGGTACACAGCACGGTACACAGCACGGTACATATCCCAAGGAGAATATTCATGCAAATGCTGCTTGTTTCACCATTTGAAGATTCCTACCCAAAACGGCTGTAATCTGTTTAGCTCTCAATGGCTTACGTGGTATTCTGTGGTATTGGTAATAATATAATTATAATAAAATTACCGTAATCGGACCTCGAAAACTAAATCAACTTTACTCGTCTGTCTACAAACCTAATTGATTTACCGCCTTCCACGTGGCGACGGTTGGCGTTTGAATCAAGCGTGTAATGTCTCAATGTTTTTGTAAGCGACCATTGCATCCAGCAAGTTCGACACATGATCAGGTATACTGGCGTTATGTAATTGATTATACCAAACACATACCGTCAGCAGAGTTGCGTCCCATGGTCACGCCAGAAACCTATGATTGTGGGTTCGAATCCCGGTCCGACCCGATTATGTTTCTAGGTTTGTCAGCACCATACCCGTGCTCATGGGTTTCAGCGAAGTGGTAAACGTCTGAGACCTGCATCACTTCAGGCTTTCCTCCCACATTACGCTGACACGCCGCGATATAACTGTAATACTGTTAAAAGCGGCGTTAAATACAACTCAATCACTCACTCACACATACCGTCAATATATCCTCTCCTGTTCACATATCAAAACTGTTATATTATTACATAAATATCTTAATATTTTCCTTTCCCAATATTGTATTCAGAATGTGCCTCTTAGCAGAAATTTGTATGAATAAATTCGTAAACACGTTTTGTTTTCCAAATAAGTTTTCATTAAACCACATTTAAGATATTTACATGTAATAGCCAGATCAATTTTCCACAGCAGTGTCTGAACGATGAAAAGGTCACTATTATCACATTCTTCCACACAGTACAACTGATGTCTAGGGTAGAAGCCAGAAAACGTTCTTAATCGTATCTACTTTTAAAATTAAATTCTCCAGCTTCTGAAGAGGTTCGTCATAGTTGTCCAATAAAATATGACGGCTATCAATTGTTGCAAGCAAATAATATGATTACCTGAAGTAGTTCAGTTATATAATCGAGCTTATGTCGTAAGCCTCTCGCGTTCAGGCAGAAATGATCATTGATTTGTCAAAAGTTTTCTGATTAGCTTATATCATACACAGGTCCAGGGTTAGTTCCTTTAAGCGTAAGTAACAATATGACATTTACATTACAGTAAACTATGGTTATAACGAACACGCTTATAACGAACTGACGGATATAACGAACTTACTTTTTTGTCCCGACTATTTACTGTAGTTATGCTGTATATATGCATATAACGAACCACGGCTACAACGAACTAAAATTAGTGGTCCTTTTGAGTTCGTTATAACCGTAGTTTACTGTACCTAGTTAATAACATAAGAGACACCAACTTATTAACACTAAACAAACTTTACACTCTGTGGTCAAAATACATATTGTA